CATCCATCCATCCATCCATCCATCCATCCATCCATCCATCCATCCATCCATCCATCCATCCATCCATCCATCCATCCATCCATCCATTCAAAGGCACTTCTCACATTATCTCTCTGTCATCAATATGGCTGCCATTGTCTACACATGTTGTGCTTAACTTCCTTAGTGTTATGGTTAATTCTTGCATTGTTTGCTATTTTTTCCACACAGAAATACTTAGACTATGTTTGGGTTGCTTTGGATGATATTGTCATGCTAGGAGTTACACTATTCTAGAAAAACAAGAAAAGTGTACTGTAACTCCTATTTAATTCTATATTGCTTGAAAAGCATTTTTTTCCTTCAGCCTCATACCTATTTTAGCCATTTAAAGGCCATCACCTTGCAAAGATGCAGGTTTCCGAAACATGCAATTGGCTTAATTTTTCTTTTATTATAAACAAAAATATGATCATATTTGACTACACACATACAGATGGTGCGATTAGCATACAGTGTTTTCTTTCTTTTCCTAGACAGAAACACCAATGGAAATAATTGACTGTAACCTTTTTGTACCAAAGAAAGCATTAATGGATCGCTGCTGCTATGTGGTTTTTCTATGTCTGCTTCTGTCTCCTTGAACCCTAGTCGGCCTGAGCTGATGGCCACTCACGCTGAGCATGGTTCTAGTTCTGCTGGAGGTTTTTTCCACTTCAAAGGTAGTTTTCCTCTCCACTGTCACTACAAGCATGCTTGGTGTGAGGGGTTGTTATAGAGTCAACATAATGCAAGCAAATGTGTACTTTCACCACATGCTGATCCAGGAAGAATCTTAACAATCTGAATGTACAATTATGACAGGAGTTGCGAATACATTGAATAGATACACTGCTGTATGTAGGTCTGTTAATTAGTGATTCAGTTCATTTATTGATATCTAACAAATTTCATATCACAGTTTCCAGTTTGCCACTATTTAAAGTTCACATAACCGAAAAGTTATCCAAATTCTTCAACCTTTTAGGTCTAAAAAAGAAACTGCTTTGTAACAATGACCAGTAACTAGTTAGATTTTTTAGTATTGAGTAACTAACTCACTAGATGGATCTGGTAACTCCTACTAGCTTATTTTATTTTATGTTTTTAAGTAATGTTCCCAACACTAGGATAAAGGTGGGGCCGGTTTGCGTATCTTCAGCAGCTGATGTTTGAAGACCAGGACACACCTTGGACGGGTTGCCAGTTTTGCTTAAGCCTAAAAAACATAATTTTTTTACTGAAGAATTTAAGTAGGTGTTAATTATGAACTATTCCCCCAGAGTTCATATTTCATTGGCGTAGCCTACTTATAACCAAACAGAGCACCCTCACTTTTCCTTGTACTTAAAAATGAAACATTCTGCTCAGACTGACTATTTAACAGTCAATGTAACGCTACCTGTAGCCTAACTCTAAGAAATTAACTTTGATTAAAACATATTATTATTTGTGTAATAGATATATTATACAATTATTTAATTATTCTTTAATTCATTGATTTATTATTAATATTTTTAAAGAAAAAAACAATGTTAATAATTTTTTAGAAGTTCTTATAAATGAACCACAGAGGTTTACAGTAATAACTTTCCAGGTTAACAAAAAATACATTTAGAACAATAACTTAAACTTTTCCTGCTTCATGGAGCTCAATTTAATAATGCTAGGAATAAATAAGCTACAAATTGGTCATTTATTATAATTCATTAATTGAACAGGAGAGTAAACATACTGCTGTAATTAATATGAAACCATGTGTAAATAGTAAAATACTGTAAAATGTTCAGATTATTGGCACCTGCTGGACTGAAGGTGTGGAATATTTTTTCTAAGGCTGGTTTGTCTAAGGGGAGTGGTGGCCTAGTGTGCAAGACCCTTGACCCCACATCGCTCCCAGGTCGCCGCACAATGGCAGCCAACTGCTCCCCAAGGGGATGGGTTAAATACAGAGAGTGAATTTCATCACTTTTTACTTGTGATAGTTTAATGACAATAAAGTTGCATTGTATTCATTCTTAAATAAATGTCTTAGGGTCAGAAGCAACAGAGTCACAAATTCCCTGGGATCTGTGTGCCTTGGTTTCTTTTCAATTCAGCTCAAATCGAAACACTTCTATCATACTTCACTGATACACAATGGAATTTGAACAAGGGAAAAACACATCCTGGGGCTTTCAGTGGAAAAGGGACCATTAATGAGCGCTTTGGTAGGTGTTTCCCCATTAAACTGAAGGAGCAGTAAAAACACTGATACTTAGTTACTGATTCTGATGTTGGAAAGTTCAAGCTAAGCAGTTATATGGGTTTTGTGTTAGTCTACCTTAAACGTAAACATTAAAATATGACTTACACTCCCTTATGATTATAGCTAAAGAATCACATAGGATGATAAGAAAGTGAAACAACTTGCAGACTTACCAGAAATCCCTCTCTTCAGCCATTTCGGGTCCTCGAGCACAATGAAGAAGTTTTCCTGCTTTTCATACTCCTCCACATTTATAATGCGGATCTGTAATGTCTGACTGAAAATGTTGAAAAGATATTTTTGTCTTTAGGGGTAAATTAAATATTTATAGAACACTACAAACAGTATATGTGTGTTGATATATTGATTTTTGATTTTGCAAGCATTATTAGACCACTTGCTCTGCCAATCAGAACCAATGGGGGCATGAACAGAGCATGGTGGAGTAAAAAATGTGTGGTGCTGTTTTAGGCATATTTTTTCATCAAGATGCTGTCCTATTATTGGTCAGCTAAAAGATTTTAAAGCATTTTACCCGATCAGATCCTTAGGAAATACAGAAAGAACACGCACCTGTCATTCTGCTCAAGTCTAAATCACACTAATCCAACAACAAAAATCTAATGTAAAATAATACTCACTAAACCCTAATATATCTATCTCTGTTAGGGCAGAAAATAGGTTTCATCTTTAACAGGCAATTCATTATTCATTAATAACAGATACTAGCATATGATTAAACATACAAAACCTTCAGAAAAAGTGGTTCTCATATATACAGTGCTGTATTTTATTTAGCTTTGCATTTATATATATAAATATAACAAGTACATTTCTCCACTGTGAGATCAATAAAGCCAGTCAATCGTTTTTTTTAGATATATCATGCCTTATCTTTTGCTATGCTAGTTGCATTTTTAGAATAAAAAAGATATATTAAAATATCCAGTGTTTATCAACTTGTATTTCCTTTTATATAGCTGCAGATAAAGGTCCAAATCCTACATTAAAGTATACAAGACGGAACCTCATATCAACTGTTAAACATGAACAAGTAACTAACAGCTCATATTTACAATGAAAACTTTTGGTCAGTTCCTAAAATGTGGCTGGAACTTTAATTCGATAATAATGGGAAACCAGTTTTTTGAATTAGGTGAAAAATGATGCCTCACCTGGTCTGTTCATTGGTGAATTCTACCTCCCCTCTGGCCTCCTCATAGTCTATGCCAGCCTTGGCGGTACCATCCTCAGTGTGGTATGGAACTGCAACTGTGCCCCTGCAGCCGGAGTTCCTCAACACAGTCACTGTCACCATCCCAGTGTTCTCACTCACTCGCAGCATCTGCTGCCCAAAGGTAAAGATCCCAGCATGATCATCATCCAGTATAGTGACTGTGGCTAGCATAGGCTCCACCAGTTTGCCCTTTGGAGGAGTCCCTGTCCCTTCATTACTTCCCTCTTCCAACCTCAGATTCTGAAGACGGACAAAGAAATGTTCATCCTCTTCAAAGATGTCGTCATCCAAAATCCCCACCTGTACAGAAAACACGTTTATTCAGCCATCCTTATGCAAGAAACACAGTGACAGTAAGAACAGCAACCCATTTATCAGTACCACGTTCTGCTTCCTATTTGAAAACACAAAGGTCTGCTGAGATTAAAAATAAGAAATATTTGAAAAACCCATGTATTGCTTGGATCTTTGGGTTTTCTCTTTTAAAACAAGACATGCAAAAAGAACATAATAATCGGTCATTTTTCTTTTTATAAAAACCTTAATACTGAAAAAAATGTATTATCCTCTTAAAGTAACTATACAAATAAAAAAAACAAAAATGGGTTGTTTCAGATTAGCACAACAGCCGCATGATTTTTATTTAAAATTTAGAATTTTAAAATTGATCAGTTTATTTAAGGTTTTTGACTTTTATTAAAACCAGTGGTCCAAACTGGACCTAGCTTTCATACACAGTCAACTGTTATCCAAAATATTTTTTTTCTCGAAATTACTACATTTGTTTTACTTAGAAGCGATTGTCCATTTAATTAGGCTGTCTTCCTATATATTATACAGCTCTGCAATTGTAATATATATTATTATTGGCTGATGAGGGAACTATGGAATGTCGGTGGAATGTCGGTATGTCGGTATCCAGGGGACTCTGCTTTAATTTGTTGCCATTTCGTCAAAAGAAACCACCGCAGCTTCTTGGCTTTGTTATTGCACTAAATGCTAACATTTTGTATAAGTTTATGCATGAGAGAGAAATGGAGAGTACATTAAGAGATGATGCTAGCCAGTCCACTGCAGCAGTTTCTTCAGGCCCACGTGGCTTGTTCAGTCTGTTCAGTGAGTATTAGCATTCAGTTAAAACTCTTCAAATCATCAGCAGTTAAACCAGAAAGTTTATTTCAAATAAACACAAACACAACTATCTATTCTACCAAATTCACCCAGCAGAGCAAGTATTAATTTGTAATTTGTCCATTTTAAACTTAAGGTAGACTCGATACATATTGTGAACTTTTTACTTATTACACTAGCATCCAAACAATAATTTTCTTTTGCAGAGGAAAAAGTCCAGCTGGTAGGCCTACACTACCAACACATTAAGCATGTCTTTCATTTAAACTCTAAAATGAAATAAAATCAGCATTTTTCATTTTCTGAAATATTTGTTTTTCTAATTTATTTTCAAAAGTCAAAAAATAAATAGCAGAAAATCCAGAGAACCACCCATACATACATAGTCTCATTATACAGAGCCAACAAAAAAGTTGATAGTAGGTCAGCAGAACAACAGAACACCACTTGAGTTTAGGTCAGGTGGGCAATCCCTTCCAACCACACCTCGCCAGGTCTCACTGTCATTGCCCACGTGAGCGTTGAAGTCCCCCAGAAGAACAAGGGAGTCCCCAGGAGGTGCACTCTCCAGTACCCCCTCTAAAGACTCCAAAAAGGGTGGGTAATCTGAACAGCTGTTTGGCGCATAAGCACAAACAACAGACAGAACCCGTTCTCCCAAACGTATGCGGAGGGAGGCAACCCTCTCGTTCACCAGGGTGAACCCTTACGTACAGGCACCAAGATGAGGGGCAACAAGAATGCCCACTCCTGCTCGGTGCCTCTCACCAGGGGCAACTCCAGCCCCTCTCAAGGAGACTGGTTCCAGAGCCAGAGCGATGCGTCAAGGTAAGTCCAACTATCTCTAGTTGGAACCTTTCAACCTTATGCACTAACTCAGGCTCCTTCCCCACCAGAGAGGTGACATTCCATGTCCCAAGAGCCAGCTTCTTCAGCCAAGGGTCAGAACACCAGGGTCCCCGCCATTGACTGCCACCCATCACACATTGCACCAAACCCCTTTGGCCCCTCCTACAGGTGATGAGCCCATTGGAAGGAGGACCCATGTTTCCGGCTCCATGGGTAAAAGCCCGGCCACCAGGCGCTTGCCAGCGTGCCCCACCTCCAGGTCTGGCTCAAGAGTGGGGCCCCGGTGACCCCGCGTCCGGGAGAAGGAACACTACGTCCATTTGTTGTATTTATCATAAGGGGTCTTTGGGCTTTGAAAACATGCACATTGAAACTGGAAAACCAGCTCCACCCCTTAATAATGGCTGTCGTTGAGCTCGTTATTGGCCTGCAATACCCGATACTGGCCCATTCCTCTGAAAAGTCAGTCGTTAAGGGTAATTGTAGGCCTGGCTGACCTGGCAAGATATTTTCTTACCCTGCATAGTGATGGGGGTTGAGATTGTTTTGGGAAAGAATCAACTGTATCGCTGCGTTGTAGGTTTTTGAGAGCTGAAACCTGAGTCCACCCCCTCTGTTTAAGGTTGTTTTCTCTATTTTAACATAAATGGTTTTCTTCATACCCCTTTCAAACCAACTGTCTTCTTTATCTAAAATGTGAACATTCTGGTCCTCAAACGAATGTCCTTTGTCCTTAAGGTGTAGATGGACAGCAGAGTCTTGTCCGGAGGATGTCACTCCTCTCTGTTGAGCCATGCATCTGTGGACAGGTTGTTTGGTTTCTCCAAAGAAAGATCAGAGCACTCCTCAGTGCACTAAACTGCATACACCA